TTTTTTCAAGATAAGTAATTACAAGTTTTAACATGATTAGCATGTCTGATTGGTAATATGGATATCAAAAGATGAAGATTGAAAAATACATATATAAATTAATAAATTCAAAAAATTTTGGATCAGAGAAATTAAAAAAAAAATACAAAACAAAGGAAAGGTGGAAAGAATAAAGCAAAACATAATTTAAAATATAATTAAATTAAAAGCCAAAAAAATATATATATAATTAAATTAAAAGAAAAATATATTTATACACTTTTGTCCGTGTGTCTCGTCCATCCGAATCAAAACCATCGTACACAAACGCGTGAGAGTATTTCGGTCCTAAAACATATGAAAGTGCTAAGTCCAACAATGGTTCAAATAAAGTGTTAAAAACGCAATGGATTTTGGAAATAAGTGTCATTTGAGCCTATTATTTCCAAATTTAGAAAATGGCATAATGGCCGTTGAGGAAGTTAAGTAGATGGGCCACTTCTATGTTCCATGCAAATGGGTTAAAACTCAAAACAACATTCTCTCTTTCATTTATTTACTCCAAAATTTACCCTTTTCCCACTAATTTTATTAAACAACAACTAATTAAAATGTAAATGGCGATGTTACTGTGATTAACCTGATATAATTCGATTTACTTACATGGTGTACTGACATGGTGTACTGTATTCAAAAAGATTACTGAATTTAACAAAAATAAAAAATCACAGACCCATCCATAGATTGTGTTTTACCCTTTGCATTGATATGTGTCCTATTGGTCTGATTTGAACGGATGTGTATTGACAAGTACAAGACACAGAAGCAATAAACGACCCTCACGTACGTGTCATCTTTATTCTATAGTTACCTAGATTCTAGAGCTTCCTTTATCCTAAAGACTTGTGTGTGTGGGGTTAAATAAAAACAAAGAGAATCTCAAATTTTATTAAAATTTAGGGAAATTAGTTTGAATAAACTATTTTTTTTAATTAGCTAGAATAATTTTACTATTTTTTTATTGGTGAAATAACCTATTCTAAATTTTTTTTATTTTATAATACCAAAATTGTTCTTCGCAAACTTTACCAAAATATTGGCAGACTCTACCGAGACATTGGTAGACTAGTAGACTGTCTACCAACATTTAAAAAAAAAAAAAGTGTCTACTAGAAAACCGCAGACTTTGCCAAGATATTGGTAGATTCTACCGAGATATTGGTAGACTATGCCGAGGTATTGGTAGACTCTGCCGAAACAATGGTATATTCTACCGAGATAATGGCAGACTCTGCCGAGATAATGGCAGACACTGCTAAGATATTGGCAGACTCTGCCGAAACATTGGTAGACTCTACCGATGTATTGACAGACTCTGCCAATCTCTAGAAATTCGCAGATTCTGTCAAAACATTAGCGGACTCTGCTAAAACATTGGCAGACTCTGCCGAGATATTAGTAGACTCTACCAAGATATTAGTAGAGTCTGTCAGTATCTAGAAAAGCGCAGAGTCTGCCGAAACATTAGTAGACTCTACTGAGATATTGGTAGACACTACCAAAAAGACGCAGACTCTACCGATATATTGGCAGACTCTACTAAAAACGCAGATTTTGCCGAGGTATTGGCAGACTCTGCGGAAGCATTGGTAGACTCTGCCAAAAAAATGTAGAATTTACAAAAAAAAATTATAATCTACAAAAATATTGACATACTTCTTGAGTGTTTTGTATTTTGTTGGTAATGGTTTTTTAAATTTTGTGTCTCATTTCTTATTTGAAATGTTTTTGTTTGAAATTAAATCTATTTCTAATTTTAATTAGTTAGTAGGGATATTTTTAGTATTATAAAATAAACAAAATGTAAAATAAGTTATTTAAATAATAAAAATTTTAAAAAATTATTTTAGTAATTTTTTTTAAAAAGTGGGTTATTCTAGGTAAATTTTTCTAAAATTTATGATGAGAAGAGGAGATGAAAAAGTCAAATTTCCATTTGAAGCACAATGATCTTGACTCATCGTCATCTCTGAAACAACTTTCGCTTCCATCTTTTTTATCCAAATTTAGGCAATGAAACGAATTTAATGAGCTTAAACATTCGACAATGTAAGAATGGCATTAATGACGCATTGTTCAAGCAAATCTTATAAAGTGTAATTTATATTTATGTCGTCGTGAGTCACAAGCATGTGGAACAAACTGGTCTAATTAAGTAATTATATCAAGACCAAACCGGCGGCTTTTACCTGTTAAGATTATGACTTGCCACGGTTGTAGCCGAATGCCAAACCATACCGGACCGAGTCAAATCTATCAAATGCATCATTTCGTGTTGTAATTAGCGGTTAATCTTGGATAAAATCACAAAACAATCACCATATTGTTTTCACTTAATTTAATAATATCAAAAAACGACATA